ATACCTCCCTGAGCAAAAGTGATCATTCCACAGCACACCTGGTAAAGTTAAAGCTGAATTTATTTTCTTTTTGGCCACCAGGTGGCAGAAGAACTTTCTCTCAGTAGTAGGAAGTACAGAGGGAAGCTCCACATGTTTCTTTGGCAGACTTTTTGCACCAGATACCCTTCCTCAGACATCCCGAGGGGATCTGGGGCTGTAGGTCTTTTGCCTGTCACATGAATGCGTAAACCACTACACTACATAGCTGCACTGAAATGTTAGAAATGAACTGCTTTATCAAACTTCCACAAGATATTACCTTCTTATTTGTGTCCACCTGATGAATTTTACCTTTTACAGTCTTACATGATATGGTACAGTTGCTTTTTTCCTGTGTTGTGTTATCTTTATCTGTTTTCTGTGTCGTTTTAAAAACTGTAGATATGTGAATGTATGAGTAACCAGATCTGCCTACAGGTGCAAATGAATAACATGAACCCAAAGCTAAATCTAAATGTAAAATCTTAATCTATGATCCAAAAGTGGATAAAGAGTGGTCACGATAACTATCAGGCATCAGGGAGCCCGTTCACACTGCACAGCAGAAATAGAATAGTAGAAATAGTACATTGACTGGTGATCTTTTTAAGTGTAGGTGTCTCAATTTTTCAGGGTTGAGGATCACAATGATATTATACCTCTGTTTGATGAGCAGACAAACCTGCTGTCTATCAGTCACCAGCCGTTCTTCCTCGCAGCGCTCATTGAGGCCGAGGCCGAGGAGCATCACACCGCTGTTTGCGAGGTTTGTTCCATGTTAAAGATTTTTTTCTACTCTTAATTTTGGGTTAATCCTTAATTCAACCCCCCCGTGTGTGGTTCTAAGCGTCTCATGTGTTTCATGTGTGTCTAAAAATATTGTAATAGCAGCTTTGTGATGACGAGTGACTATCAGAAACCCCGCTAGGGTTCATTCCCTCGGGACTTGGGAGACGACAGATCCTCCTCTCCCCTCCCCGCCCGTTGGGCCGACATGTGTTTGTGGCAGCATATGGCAGATACGAGCTGATACCCAGCCAAAGCATGCTCTCACTGAACATATTGTGTCCAGACATCTGAAGCATTTTGGGCTTTTTGTCTGATTATGTTCAGCGCAATCCAACATTGTCCCAGAGGGTTTTTTCTCTTCAGTCCACCGCACGCCAGAAACTGTTTGTGAAGCTGCAGAATGTGTCGTTCATTTATTTCCAGCTTACGTCCTGTTCAGATGGTCTGTTAGTGATAAAAGCTTGTCTACTTATGATCAGCAACCAAAACCAGCAAGACAAACTCAGTAGCTGATGCAGATGTGCACAGAAAAAATGCCATCTATTTTTAGTCCTGTTGAAGTTGAGAACAGGAAATGTGAAAGTAGCTATTCAGTGAAGTTTTAGGTGTTTTTTCAGATGCTATTTGTAAAGTCAGGAACCTCAGAATTATTTCTAAACCTAAATATGAAGCACGTCTCATTTATTGAGCGCCTGGTGAATGCATTCAGGAACACAAGTAAAACAATATAAAAACCTGATGAAATTTCTGCTTCTGGGCAGCACCTTCTAGAGATCATCTACACACATCAGGGTTTCTCCTGGCTCACAACTGGTCTTTGGGGTCAAGACAGAAAGCTTAAGCTATGAGTCTGTGTTATCTTATTAAATGTAAGACTGAGCTTTCTTGCGGTCATTTGATAAAGGTAAATCAAGCCTCAGACGCAGACTTTTGTGTTGGCAAGAAAAAAAGGAGGAAAAACAGAGGAAGCCAGGAAACCAGAATAAAACAGGAAGTGATAAACCACTGAGAGAAAAAGAAAGCAGTGCTACATTAGTATGATCATACAGCATGTGTTTCTTCTGTAGATTAATGGAGTCGCCGTTGGCTTCATCTGTGCCAGTGCTGATGTCAACCTGAAGTGGCTCCTTGGCAGATTTGAACTGAGTGAGTTTGACGGTTTGATCAGAGAGCAGAAAACAAAACATCATAAAGTTCCTGCTCAGTCTGATGAAGATGAACATAGGCGGGCTGCAGAGCAGGTAAATAAACCAAACCTATCTCATATCTGAGAAATGATTCAACTTTTCTTATTGCTCCAAAACACTCCTAAGATGTTGGACAGCAAAATGTGATCACTGCTCAAAACAATATTAAGATGTGGAAATTAAGATGAAATGAAAGAAGCACCCTTCTCTGTTTGTCTATCTAATCCTTCCTTTTTTTTTTTTATTGCTCTGATAATTTAAGAACAGATGAACACAGTCGTACTGTACAGTTTGAAGTCTGTTTGTGTTTGTTGTCACACATCTCAGCAGGAGGAGGCTCAGCCAGCTTCAGAAAAATTCAACACCTTCTGTATTCAGATCTTTGTTATTGACAAGAATTATGAACTGAGGTAAGCTTTCAGAATAAAGCTGACATTTAAAACCTTAAAACCGACAGCAAATACTTCAGATAAGTGTCCTGCGTGTATCTAAAACCTGATGTATTACATCATTACTCTGAGCTCCACATCAGTGTGGCTGAGCTGCGTTTGAATCCTCACCTCATTCCCCTTCTTCCTCTCCAGGAAAGTGCCCCATTTCCCTGTGCTGGCTCTTTTCAATGAAGGCACAAAGCCTTCAGAACTAATCTTTAAAAACACTTAAAAACCTTGTGATTAAGCGATCCACTTCCTTATCACCATCACAGATGACCTTTTTTCCTCCCACACGATTCAAATGCAACATTTTCTATCCAGCACACTGCGCTGAGCATGCGTGTTTGTATGGTTTATATACTACCAGATAGGGAAAAATATGGCGATATTGGGAGGATGTCAAACAAAATGCGGTAATTTGCAAAACAAAGAGACAAGCCATATCACCATATATATCGAGTGTTGCAATATAACAAAAAAAAAAAATTATTGTGATATATAGGTTTTCTTCCATCACCCAGCCCTGCTTAAAGTTGAGCATTTCCATTTGTACTGTTGTCACAAAAAAGTGCCGTCAGAGTTAATTCTTTTATAAGACATTCTACTAAACCACTGGCAAAGGACTTTTTTACTTGATGCTTTTAATGTTTGCGACTGGTCCCACACATAAACATGGACACACTCTGGATCCAGTTTTGTCACATGGTTTACCTGTTTATAACCTTAAAATGTACACGCAAACATGAGTACATTACCCCCCGTTCTTCCCTCTTTACATGGGTTGTCTGTCTATTAGAATTTTTTTTACATTTTATTGATTGCTTTTAAAGTTTTAAATGGCCAGGCCTGCCTACCTGGCAGGGCTGCTACACCTATACAGTGCACAAAGGTCTCTCAGATGAACTGACCAGTCACTCCTTGTTTCCCCATGTCAAGACTGAAAAACTGGGGGGACAGAACTTTCGCTGTTGTGGCCCCCAAATTATGGAAAAGTTGCCCCTCCATATATTAGGCTGGCCCCAACACTTGAAATTTTCAAATGACTTTTAAAAACAAACCTTTTTTCCAAGGCGTTTTTTGGGGGTAGGACCAGAGTCAGCTTGTAGTCAGTTTTAGTCAGTTTTTGGTTGCTTTTGATCTTTTTTACTTTGTTAATTTTATTTATTTTATACTTTATTGTCTATTTTAATCATGTTTTAATATTTACTGATTCATTTTTTATCTTTTTTTCATGTATTTATTTATTTTATTGCTATTTAATTTTCTTTGTCTGTTTAATGTGTGGTTTAACTTAACTTTTATCACAGTTTTTTACTGGAACGCACTTTGGTCAACCATGTTGTTTTTAAAGTGCTCTATAAATAAAGTTGGATTGGATTCTTGGACATAAAATTTTGGTCCACTGAAGGGGTTGTTTTGTAATGCAAGCTGACCTCTTTTTTTTTTTTTTTTTTACACCTACTGAATGTCTAGTGTTGACATCTGTAGGACCTCTGTGTATGGGCCATATGCATTTGTTGTGGACAACTTTGTTTTTATAATGCTTCTATAGGCTCTGTACACCCATGTTTTCAGAAGGTGGAGAGCATGTTCACTGTACAGAAACAGTTAAGTGTAAAGGAATGCAGAGTAGGAATCCCTGGTAGATTTGGAGCAGAAATGTCCTCAGCTTGTCACAGTTTGCAAAATGTGCGCATAGACAAATACAGTTGAGCATATAGACCAGTACGCACTGGCACAAACTTCTCATACTTCCCCTTGCAACGTCTCTCAGTCCTGCTACCGATCACAGCCAAATTCACTTCCTCTTAAAATCCTTAGTTCTTCACAATAAAATGCAGGACTGCTCTTTTAAATCTCAGAATTCTGACTGTTTCTTCTGAAAATTTTTTTCTCAGAATTCTGACTTTAATCTCAGAATCCTGGAAAAGAAAAAAAAAACATGTCCCCACTCAGAATCTGATAAATTCTGAGATTTAAGTCAGAATTCTGAGAAAAAATAATGCTGAGGAAAAAGTCAGAATTCTGAGATTAATCTCAGAATTTGGAATTTTCCTCACAATTCTGACTTTATCTCAAAATTCTGACTTTTTTCTCAGAGTTCTGGAAAAGAAGAAAAAAAACATATGCCCACTCAGAATTCTGAGATTAAAGTCAGAACTCTGACATAAATCTTAGAATTCTGAGAACAAAAAAGTCAGAATTCTGAGTTTAATCTCAGAATTCTGAATTTTTCTCAGAATTCTGACTTTTTTCTCGGAATTCTGGAAAAGAAGGAAGAAAACAGGTGCCCACTCAGAATTCTGAGATTGAAGTCAGGATTCTGAAAAAAAAAGTCAGAATTCTGAGATTAAAGTCAGAATTCTGACTTTTTCCTCAGAATTATTTTTCTCAGAAAAATCAGAATTCTGAGGTTAACTTTAATCTCAGAATTACGTGCCAACTTCTTTTTTCCCCCATTGCCCCTAATCCTCTTCTGTAAATTTCACCTTTGAACATGGATTTCAACAATTTCATTATTTCATTTGAATAAATTACCATTTTAACCTGGTTACAAACAAATAAGTTGATCAATTAAAAAACAGGCAAATGTAAAATAAAAAATAATATTTTTAAAAACCCACATGCACTGACTACATCGATAGGCTAACACATAACAAATTGTGTTTGTTTATACATAATCCATATTCATATGTATCATATTGATAACAACAATGTTGATATTGGTAAATAAAAACATATTACATTTATAAACTATGTCAATTTCCTGCACCTGTCATAGACGTCCACATGATGTGGACCTAATTAGTCTTGTAATGTATTGTAATTACATGTATGCATGTGTGCATGTGCATATAGATATACATACCCTGTACAGCATTTTGGTATGTGAAAACCATACTTTATAAATAAATTATTATACTGACTTATTTAATTTACATATGTTATCCTCCCTGCTTGTTGTGTTGCCTGCTTTATTTTTCCCGACACTGTTTTCTGATTTTCTTGTGTTCATTTTTGGATTTTAGACATTTTGTGTCTGCGATTCCTTTTGTGTTTGCTTTCATCATAAGCATCTAAATTGATGTACATTTTAAGTAAATACCTGAAATTGTAGTATAAAAACACTTTAAGTCATAATCCAGATATAATAAAATGTTTAGTAAAGAATATTGGCTATGTAAGTGATGTGCAGGCCATGGAAAAGTAAAGTAAACACGGCAGCTAAAGTTATTAAAAGGTATGAGGCAACTTCTGCAAAATTCACAGATGTCGACTGTCAGATATCACCGTTTAAAAATGGGGAGAATATTCAGAAATATTACATGTTTTAATTAAAATATGTTTCTCACTTTTTGGAGGCTGTGACTCGGCAGCGCTGGTGGCAGCCGTCCAGAGCTACATCAGTCATATGCCGCGTTAAAGCAGGGAGAGTGACTGTTAGTTGGCTCCCGCTGAGCCCCCCTCACCGCCGCCTTACCTCCCAGCTGTTACTGAATATGGAGTCGAGTCGCTTCCTGCCGAGAGTGAGCACGTTATTAATGAGAGCAACGCTTAAAGTGACAGAGAGCTGAAGGCGAGAAGTCGAGCTGGAAGCAGCGGGCAGATTGGTCGGACAGTTGTTCCACCACAGTGATCACCAGTTTGGCACAGACTCGTAGTTACACTTAACTTCCTCTTCCTCTTCTCTTCCAGATCAGCGGACTTTATTCCTTTTCTGTTCCAGGTTTTCCCCGTGAGTATCATCTTTGCAAGTTTAAAGCTCTGTCAGATGTTCTCTACGTTATGTCAGTGACCCCTGGTTTTTCGCTAGACCTGAGAGTGGTTCACATGCCTGAAAATGTTTTTTTTTTTTTTTTTAAGTACATTAAAGCTTTTTTTTAACAAGTGAGAATTAACTTTCCAAAAGTTTCAGGCAATTAAGATGTTTAGTTATTTATTTTTGAAATTTATTTTATTTTATTTTAGCAATTTTTCAGTTGATTTGTAATTGATGATGTGGAAAAACAAGAAAAAGGGGCAGGGAACAACTACACTTGGTAATCAGAGAAACTTTGTCTGGAAGTCTCCTAGTCAATAACTCCGAGCCACCCACACTTACTTAAGAGGTGGCTATACCAAATGTAGCAACTAACTTAGCATTAGCATTTTGGCCACAGCCAGGAACCAGCTAACCCTCAGTTATGCGCTAACACTAGTTGTCAGCTTCCATAAACCATATGGGTCCAACCCACAGGCACTGCTAATAAGTACTAATTAGAAACAAGCTAGTAAAATACTAGAATTTCACTCAACAAAGCGAAGTACAAATTTCTTAGATGGTCTGTTCCGAACAGAAGACCAAAATCGCAAGGCTGCTCAGTACAACCTGCCTTGAAGTTGTGCTGTTTTGATGGCTAGGCCTGGAGAGAGAAGAAAATTCAATTTGATTTGGGGTTTTTGATCATTAAAAACTGTATATAAATAAAAAATTGTACTACGTTCCTAAAACAAACAGAAATCACTGCATGGCTCTGATAGGTGCTCCACAGTTGGACGGGCACTGTAACAGGATGTGTCCATTGAAACAAATCAGTTCATGGAATTTCTTCTCTCCTAGATTTTACACGATCAGCTGTAAGTGGCATTATTGCAAAGTCGAACAGTTTAGAAACCACAGCGACTCAGTGACAAAGTGGAGGACCATCTAAAGTTACAGCGCTGAGCTGTATATTGTATAAAAGTCACCAATGCACTGCATCCCAAACCTTCTCTGGCATTAACATCAGCACAAAACTGCACCCCAGGAGCTTCATGCCGAGCATGGCCGTGCAGCTCCTGTTGGTGTAATTTGTAGGTGGCCCAGTGTTTTTGTCCATATATGGATTATTGTTCAGTTGTTGATGTGTGTTATCTTTGTTTGTGCAGGACCAGAACTTCTGCGTTATCACAGTTCCAAATCTGTCCACTGAGTTCCCCCTGTTGCAGAACTTTATCAGGGTGCCGTCAATTCCCACCAGCTTGCCGCAACATGAGCTCTATATCTTTCACCGCGATGGAATCAGGTAAATCTCACAGCTCAAGTTTTGTTTGTTTCCCAAAATCACAAATGAACAACACCGATAGTGTATTTGAACCTAATGACTCTGTCACTTTTAACATTTACATTTCCTCTAATATCCACTGGTGTGGTCTTCTGCTTCAAGGTTCAACATGTTTTGCATTCAGAGACGCTGTGCTGCATACCTTCGTTGTATTGAGTGGTTATTTGTATTGATTTAAACTCATTGTATTAAATTACTGTTGCCTTCCAATCAGTTCAAAGCAGTCTGGCCAGTCTGACATCTGACAGCCACAAGACAGTTTAACTCAGAAAACTGAAGTTCACTGTATATTTTCTCTTTTTCTGACATTTTCTGCAAACCCTAGAAATGGTTGTGTGGGAAGACCCCTACTAAATCAGCAGTTTCTGAAATACTCAGACCAGGCTGTCTGACACAACAGCCATGTCACATTCAGTGACTTAACCACATTTCTTCCTCCATTATGAATCTCTTTTTTGAACTTCAGAAGGTTGTCGTGATCATTTCTGCAGCCCTACATCTATCATGTTACTGCCGTGTGATTGGCTCGTTAGATACTTTGGTTAGTGTAAAGTTGAACTTCTGTACCTAATAAAGTGGCTGAGTATGTTTAGTGAAATTTGAAAAATCATCCATGTACTCCTGCAGTGCTGAGCCCAAGAGATCAACACATTCTTTAAAACAGCATCGATACAGAGCATGAACTGTTCAGTCATTTATAGTGATTATACCATGAAATCATTTATGAAGTCTCAGAGCACTATACAAAGCATTTCCACAGACTCTTTAAGTGTTTTTTCCCCACAGGTCTTTGAGCGTGAGGCCAGCCGTGGCTCTGGACCGCTCTGCTGTCTCTGCTCTGGTGAAGGATCTGAGTCTGAATGAGTCTTTGCTGCAGGACCTGGACCGCTACTACGAGACTGGCTGTGACCAGGTCAGCCAACAAACACTGTTATTAACACACCTGCAGTCAGATTCACAAAGACAGACCTCAGCTGTGCTTTAGATCAGACAAAGACTCACACATTCAGATATATCTGCAGAAAATGAGTTTCAACTACAAGTTGAAACAACTCGTAACAAGTTCTGTTTAAATAAGACTTTGACAAAACTGGATATGAAAATCACTTTAATATCAAGGTTGTATTTTAAGCAAAGAGGAACATCTACTTCATCTCATCTGTGAAATCAAAGAAAAAATTTTGTGACTCTGAGATTAGCTTATTATGTTTGTAACTCCTGATTTTCTTCAGCCTTTGTGTAACTCTCTGAAGTAAAACTAATTAATGATGATCCTGAAGCAGTAGTATCTGCTTTCCTTTCGTTAAAGATGCTCCAGTGTGTCCTCTGCTAAAGGAAGCATAAAAGCACCTTTGCTTACTGTTTAAAGAAGTCAGACAGCTCTTATTACAGCTGCCATGCAGATACTTCAGGGTCATTTCATTCATTCCAAACCTTTCTTAATAAACTAACTTGACTAACTTGACCGCAGTTCCAAAATTTAGGAAACATGGATGTTAGACAGGGAATGTTGGCAGATAGGAGGAAACAGGTAAGAAGAGCAAACAGGAGGTAATACAGGTGGAGGCAGGCAGGCAGAAAACTCCGCCCTGCGCACCAACACAAAAACCAAGAGTTAAAAAAACAATATCATAAAATCTGAAACACATCATGAGATAAACAAAGTCAAACAGAACTCCAAACCCAGAGACAACAACAAAGGGTTAATATAGTAAATTTAAGGCGGGTAAGACTCTTTTTGCTCCCCTTAACTTTAAAAAATGAGATGGTGATTAATTTGGACTGTCGAGTGTAACTGGAGCGGTGTGATGATTGTCTTGGAATAACGAGGAATATTGGCTCTTGTGCCAGGGAACAGATTGGTGAGAATTCAGCTGAACGGATTTTCCTCTCTGACTGACACCCCAGCTGTCACTGCCGCAGCTCCAACACTGACAATTACTTCTCAAATGAGAATGCAGCCACTTCATGTGTATTCATGGCACTGGTCTCAGCTACAAGTAAAGTGCACTCTGCTCGTGTGTAGTTCAGTGGAATCACGGAAATTTGACGTGTTTTTGTTTGGTTCACTTGTTCCTCAGGATGCCGTTCCACTGCAGGCCTTCGTCGCCCAGGCAGAAGCAGAGTTAGTTGGGATTGTCATCATCAAGGACGAGCAGGTACTAGAAGTCTGGTTTATTAGTAAAAGTGTGAAGTGTTTGACCATTTAAACCCCCATTCTGCCTTAAAGGAGTAAAAAGATTTCTAATAAAAGGTAAATGGAGTTGCCAGCGAGCTGTTTTAAACACTAGTCTGGCTTTTCACTTCTTCTCTGACTTCACTGACTTCTCTGACTGCGCTTTATATGATTAAAGTCTGGAATTTTTTTTTCCGTTAGGAATTGTGCTGCATGTTCGTTTTTATGCTCCATCGATCTGCCGCTTTTATTTGTTTTTATTTATAATTTTTAATGCTAAATGGCCAATTAGGACACATTGTGGACATGGGATACTTGCAAAAACAAAAAGCCAACCTTCAACAACAACAGTAAAAACAATTAAACAATATAAATAATTAAGAAAATATTCTATTAAATAAAATACTAATTTGAAATAAGATAAAATAAACAATAAATAAAAAGACAATGTACAAATAAAATTAATTAAAGTTATATTAATAGCTTTAATTAATTCTTAATAATGTAGCTATTATATGACATGGCATACCAATACTTCATGGTCTAATAACACAGTAATAGGCAACAAAGGCAAAAGAACTGCAATAAGCAAAATGTACAATGTAAAAGGAGAAAAACTAAAAATATTACTCCTGAAATTTGTTCCTCTGTCGTCAAGCTCACATGAATCTGTGTCTTTGTCAGGACATCGAGTACATCCGTGCTCACTACAACATCGAGAGCTTCATCTACTTTAGCCACCATGGCTACGATGAGCACGCTCAGATACTCCACTTCGTCCTCAAAACCACCGTCCAACACTTCTCCAAGAACTTCTTTAAGGAGGTTCTCCGGCAGGCTCGCAAATCCTGCCTGTACCTCCGAATCTACCCCCCCTACCACAGCCAGGAGGTGAGTGCACGGGGCTTCCAGGTCCTTGCTTAGCCCTTAACCACTGGGCCACTTCCAGCTGGGGTGCAAGGCTGCTCATTAGTGTAACAAACTAACGAGTGCACGCTGTAAAAAGTGTTAAAAAAAAAGAAAAGACAAATCCATTTTACACAGATCATGTGACTATAAAACCCCAGTCTAGGTAGCAAGATAGTGCATGTACAGGTAGTCAGTAAAGGTACACAATCAGTCTAGATGAGATGTGTAAAACATAAGGCCCTGAGGCCAGATTTGGCCTGGGAGTCCGGCCCACAGGTTGGCTTTGGAAAAGGAGTGCATATAGATTTTTAAGTTTCAACCGTGTTTTCATAAGCCAGCTTTTAAAGACCACCTCCCCAGTTTCATTCATACTCTGCAGAGGAAAGTTCCTGTTTTTTCAGTAAATGCTAAGGAAATGTCTGTTTTTTTACAGTAAGTCCACATTAACAAAAAACAAAAGAAAGATACAACATTTTGTGTAAATTAATAAAAACTTTACACTTTGAACTACTAGAACTTTTTCTCAATTTTGCACATTTACCATGTAGTTTCACAGGTTCAACCCACTTAAGATCGAAGTAGGCTATATATGACCCATGCAACATGTCCTCATCCCATCACGTAACATACCGACGCTATGTTACGGTATGTCAGTTTGTTATGCGTTCTGAGGCATGAGAGCCCTTTGGAATGAATCTATACATGTAAATGTGTTTTACGTTCTGATCATGAATCACTTTGGAAAACACTATAGTGCAAATAGTGCAAAAAAATAGTGCAAATGTACAGTAGGACATAATCATTGGCTGAGTACTCTCTGTTGTTAATGGATTTTCAAAACATTTGCCTTCCTGTTTTTATGACAGGTGGTCTAATAAATTCGTTAAGTAATTCGTTAAGTAATTCAGTTTGTATTAGTTCTGTGTTGGATTATCACTGATTACTTTGACTTAAGTCACAGAAAGCCTGAATAAAGGCAGAATTAGATTAGATCATCCCTGCAGCAGGAAGGGAAAATAAGCTGTTGAAAGCCAGGAGAATTTTTTCACAACCCTGTAAAAACATAAATAAAACCAAATGTTTTTATACTGAGTTTTATTCATTTAATGGTTTCCTCTAATTCAGCAAACTTTTATTTATGGAGAGAACAGGTTGGATATGGAATTGTGCTCCGTGGCCGTCTAACTTGATCAGAGAGACGGGTTTGTGGTCGTGTTGCGCCTGTCAGCAGGTCATTTTTTACAGCAGGCTGCCGGTCCCCGAGGTTGGGGCAGCAGGTGTCGACAGCGCTGCCAGCTCAACCTCTCCACGCCATAATAAGAAATTTCCTCAACGTGTAGAGACCTTCCACTTCCTCTGCTAATTAACTTCCACAAACAAGCACCAGATTGGGTGATCGTGATGTGAAAATGGAATAATGGCAGAAGATAAGCAGAGGGGTTTAAGCTGTGCTTGGGCAGCGTGTGTCAGTGGTGTAACGCTTGTATCATCTAACTCTTCACCCGAGCTCGTTATCACCACGTAGCTTTCCAGTTGCACCCCCCCCAAAACTGATTGCTGTTTAACCTCCGATGGGATTTTCCCTTTCTGTGCTCACTGACTCCGTGCCCTCTCTCTCTGCACTCAGAATTCCTGCGTCCACCATCTGCATTATGTCCTCAACTGCGCCGTCCCCGTCTGCCCACGACGCCAGATCATCTACCCGCTGGAGGAGCTTGGCATCAACGCCCCATCTAGGCGGCTCACAGAAGACCAGGTGGGCACAGCAGCAGGCTGACAGGAAGCCTCCTGCCAGGGAGTTTAGATGGCAGGGAGCACAGCAGGGTGTGCATGTGGCCACCAGGCGGTGCTGTTTCAAAAGAGTTCAGACAAACTGTAGGTATGCAAGAGAAACTCACTGCTGGAGGATGAAGTGCACAGTTTGATGGAATGAACGTTCATGTTTTAGAGATGCTTCTGAGCAGCTTTTTTCCCCACACCTACAACAATTTATCACATTCACTTTGAAACAAATGTTTTTAAACTACTCTACTGAGGATTAACTACAAAAGTCCTCCCACATTCATGTGCAAAAACGCATGATGGACTAATCAGCACACTGTGTTTGGCTCAGAAGATGAGATTTAGTTTTTTAACTTTTAGGGAAATCCTTTGAGGATTTAACTGTCTCAGGTTCAAAGCTGTGTACACAAAAGAGCCAAGACTTCTCAGGTAAAACCTCACAAACACATCCAAACTGTTAAACCTCCACTCAAAATAACAGATGATCATTCAGATAACACCTAGAACCAGTGAAGATTTGTTGCACCATTCATAAAAAATGTAGTGTGTATTTCCAGTTGTGCTCCAGTTTTACAGTTTTACTGATGAGATGAAATGAAATATCAGGATACAGTAAAGACCTGAGATTGTGGCTGCAGTCGATCATACTTCTTTGTCCTAATTCACTCATTCAGATATGAAACAAACAGTGTTCAGCCCCACTGTCACCCTGAACTGGATAAGTGGAAGGAATGTATACTAAATCTTTGTACACTTACATTTGCTTGTATTGAATAGCTCATAAGACTTTATAAGTGGTCAGTTACCCCAACATGGTTATAAGAAGCATGAATCAAGTAAACCTTATGTTGTTGTTATAGAAACGTGGAACGAGGTCATTTCTTTTGTTTCTTGTCATTGTGAGTCCATGTAAACAAATATGCTGTGTCACAGATTGCCCTTCCGATTACTTCACTGCCTCTCAGCGTTTCCATCCATTGCTGGAATCAACCTCAGACATCCTTCGAACTGGCATATATTGATTAAATTACATCAGAGAACTGCTTAAGATCGGACATCTGTGTTGTAGTTTTCCTCCAATTCTATCTTTGTGGTTTGCTTTTTTGTGTTTTAGTGTTTGAGAATGTGTTTAGAGTATTTTAGGGAAGGACAGATTGTGTCTGACTCAGTGAAAAAGGTTTAAGATTTTGTTGAATGAGTGACACATTCTGCCGAGGACATCGATGATTTGGTTCCGAGAATGGCACTAAGGTTTTTGGTATGTTTATTGTTCCAGCATCTTCTATGGCTTCAGTCTTATAGTCTCAGTCTTCTGTCTGTTCATGTAATCCCAGACTGACTCCATGATGTTGAGACCATGCCCTGAGGGGAGTCAGACCATCTGTCACAGGTCTGTTCTTGTAACTAAACATACAAATGAAAGGAAAACCAGCACAGAGTGTTTCAGGCAGGTGTCAGGCCATCGCTTTCCTTCAGATCAGTTTTGATGCTTTTTGAAGAGTAATACTCACCTGTTTGTGTGTCAGCTCAGCACTGATGATAATAAAAAGCTGAGATTAATTATTTGAAAGTGAGAGAAAACACTTGCATTATCTTCCACGTGCAGTGTATGCTGAGCTGTCACCTGCTGCCTGATTTCCACTATAAGTTGATTAAGTAAAGGGAAAAAGTGCAACAGAATAAAGAAAATGAAACTAACAGCCTGGGTTTTAGTACCTTGGTTTGTCGCTCTGTTTAAGGCATATTTTCTTCTGTAAATATGAAGTGCAGCTTCTTAAGATGACTTCAGTAAAAGGTGGAGAAAAGCAGGTGAAAGTAGCCTGTGTGAATAATGGCATGGTTTCAGCTGTCAACCATGTTTGGGGCTTAAAGCCTGGCTGATTGATTTTAACATCCTGCACTTCAAATATTTACCCCATGTTCAGCAGCGCTCTTTCCACCTGAGGCGTCACCATGTACACTAACATGTTCATTTTACTCCCCCATGCCAGTCATGATTTCCACGCTGCCTGATAACAGCTTCGCCTCTGAGATCTTTGTCCCAGCCTCCTCCCGATGTCGGCCCTGGGATGACTAATCAAATTTAAAGCACCTGTTCCCTCTCTGTCAATACGGGATCATGTTACGCAGTGCCGTGGTCATTGTGTGCGGCAAAGGTGAGGCACCTCCAGCGCGATAAGAGCGGCTGCACCTGCTCCACCTCACATGCAGATGAGACGGGAGCTTTGTTCATCTGATTACCTCATCTGGTTAATTCCTGCAGTATTCAGACGGATGCATCTAGGCATTTAATTTTTCCAGTATATGATAACAGATGAAGGGTTTTTACATATAAAGTAAAGCTCGGTTTCAATAAATGTCGACCTACAGCAGCTGTGTGAGACATCAGCTTAAAAATCACTGTTTGTCTTATCTATTTTAAAAGTTAATAGAACAGACAGATATACATGCAAACAATAATATGAGTTTTTTTTTCTTCAGGGTAAAGGCTAGTCTAAATGAACCAGAAAACGGTCATGACATGATCTTATCTTCAAAATTAAGGCGCACATGATACCGGCAAGTCAGTGTCATCACCAAAAGGCTTTCACAGACTTTTCAGAGCCAGTGTGCTGCTCATTTCATATTTATTTACATATTCAAACAGGATGTCCCAGTGTCACAGTAATGCAGTCTGTTCATACTTTTTCTTAATCATCTTTCAGGTAATAAAACTTGCTTAAATTAGCTTTAGACAACTTCTCAGGAGTAGTATGTGGGACCCATGTTGGTTTTTTTGAGTGACCGTATTTGGACCAGAGGGTGGAGTTCATCTAATTCTGACAAACTTGTTATCAGTCTGCATTCATAAACTACATGGATGTGACACACAAACGCACACCTGTCTGATAATTAGTGCAAAATAGCAAACCTGTAAAATACTGGAGTTTCACTCAGCAAAACAAGCAAAGGCTCAGTTTGCAATAATATAATATAATCAGTCATAACAGCCATACCTCCATACCCATAACTCCAGTATCCAGTTCTGACAAAATTCCCACTGGTCGTTAGTGGAACTGCAGATTATTGCATGAAATTCATTTTGTTTTTCAGCATCAGTGGTTGCTGCATGATTTAACCTTGTATTACCTGCAGTAATCACACAATATACATCACATATCGACTCCAAGGCTACTTTATCTCCAGTCAAGCAAAAAATAAAAAATAATGAGCCTGTGCATTCAAAATTAAAATAAAGACAAATTGACTTTTACTGCTTACATAAGTTCCTGAGATGAAACCCTGTTTCCGACATGCTGTACAAAGACCAAATGAAAAAAATGGAAAATACAGTTACACCCATCTATTTTGGAGCACATTTTTCAGGTTTTAACTCTCTGTACAAAAATATTCAAATAACATGAAAGTACACGCTCTCAGCTTTAATTCGAGGACCAAAATGTGGCATTAATTGTTTAGTAATCACAGACATTTTTATAAATAGTCTGTACTCAGAGGCTCGTGCAGCTGGAATAATTGCAGAATGTGGTTTGGTATTGTATTGCTAAAATTAAAATTACCCGGAGGGCTGCATACACATGGTTTAGCTTCTGCGGGATAGTTTTCCATTCACAATCATGTTACTAATTAACTTAATTAGTTGTTCCATTAAGTGTTTTTAAGCATTACACACCTCTCAACCTTTTCTGAAATATGTTGCTTCAAAACAAAAGCTTGGTGTATATACTAAATTACCAAACACAATTCAAAATCAAACCTGCAAAGTTTAATTTTTTGTGATGTTTTGATGCTTCAAATTTTTCAGCGTGTGGCTTATTTATCATATAAAATAACCAAGGCTTCTTACGTTTTCCTCCTACAGTCAAACCTGTGCCAAAACACCTCCGTGTATGTGACAGATGTTGGGCTCACATGCCCTCGTGGAAATTTATTTAAATATCACACAAAGGTTAATTCCACCCATGCCCCC